AATCGGCTGTGGCTGCACGTGTGCTGCTCGCCATGGGGGGGCGGCCACGATGCTCTTCTTTCTTCGGTTGGGTGGAGTGTCTTGTGTGCCGAGCTGCTTGTCCTTGTTGTCTCCTGCTTGAACTGGGGCCGTTTGTGGCGGCCGGTGGCACCGCGGCCGCTTCTGCGTGATGACAGAAATGGGGCTTCTGGTATGTGTAAAGGGACTCTTGTTTTTTTGTTTCGTTTTTTAAATACTTTCTGCCGTGCTCAATAGTGGACGGCGTCAGCGAATTAGAAACACACAAATACGCACGCCTATACAGAGAGCCGATGACATGCCAGGCGCTGTGTGGGGACCCTTGCGTTCCTTTGTGCGGCCACCCTCAGCCCAGTGGTGGCCGGCGCGGTGTCGCGCACCGGGTGTGGGGGCGCGCTGTGCACTCGCGTGCGGCGCTGCTCGCTCTCGTGCTGCTCGTCTCCCTTACGTGGCCCTCCACTGCCCAGCCGGCACCGGGGATTAATGTCACGGTTCTGGAGCTTCTATATTCGGCGAATGCTGATCTAGAACGTGAGGTTGCGGCATACAGACACGGATTCCTTGCCTCGCTGTGGTCTCACAGCTATACAACTGGCACTGTGAAAGTGAATGTTGTTCATGAGGATGTCAGTGAGTCGAATGTTTCTCTGACTATTGACCAGGCGGTGAGAAACTATGCGGATCTTATTGCTGTGGTCGGTCCGGCATCTGCACCTCTTGTATCAGCTGCTCTTCCAGCTCTGGGGGCACACAATTTGGTTGCCTTTGCCCCACTTACCGATTCACTTACTGTTCGATTCTGGGACAGACACATGTATTTCCTCATGGGTGATTCGTATAGCGCCGTGTACTCCCTTCTCCGGTACGCCGTCACATTCCTGCGCGTGATGCGTGTGGGCTTTATGTACGTGACGGGCGTGTCCTATGGGGACCTTGCGTACGCACTTGCAAGTCGACTGATGGCTGGAATGGGTCGCAGACTCAGTGGCGTTTTTCGGCTGGATGGCACGAGAGAGTTGTCATCGAGTGATGCTGAATTCAAGGCGGAGTGGGAGCAGTTCGCGAATACCCGCCCACAAGCAGTCTTCATCTTTGGGAGGTGGGGGGTGACGACTGAGTCCTTTGTCAGGGCGATGCTCACGGACCACCGAACAAGCACTGCCTACTTGCTGGGGCCGTTTGTATTGCAAGACTTTATAGTGGGTGTGTGGCGGGGTGCTGTGGCCGCTGGAAGCTCCATGGTGCCTGGCCAAGTGGTCACTTCAGGATCGAATCCAATTGCAACTAACACCGAGTACACTTGTATCAGGCGTTTCCAGACCGACATGTCGAAGTATCTGTCTGACAGTGGACAACAGACATACAACGATACTGAGCAGCATCTTAATGACGACCGGGATGGCGAGACGATGGTTGCTGGATGGCTGGCTGGCGAGGTGCTTCTGCAGACGCTTGCCTTCTATGACTCCACCCACGATCGAGACTGGTATGTCAGATCGCTATTTGCCCAGCGCCGCTATCTAATTGATGACTTTGTTATCGGTGACTTTGGCGACAGTGTGGACCGAAAGGCTGCGGCGCAGGGGGCAGCCTTTCAATGCAATCAGGGTGGCAACCTTGTGTTTGTGAAGAAGTTTGTGGAGAATTTCAGGGCTGTCAATGTACCTGAGGGACAATACGCTGCACCGCTTACCGAATGCTACAAAAAGTATGAGCTGTACGATCCTGCCCTTGCGGTCACACTCAATCGGTCTGACGGCAATGCTGGAACGTATGCGCTAGAGGTCATGTTAAGGGGCATGATGGGGGCTATTGACCCCAACGCAAAGCACCCATACTCTGTGAAAATACTGCAAACGACAAATGCGGATGCAAGGAATGCTCTGAGCCTGGAGCAGCAGACATACTCCACCGACATCGTTCTGGGCGTTGTTTTTGATGGTATGCTGTCGCTGCCCAACCTCTTGTTCTTGGACCCGATTCTCGCCACGTCGCAGCTGAACACATTTCGAAGAGAGGTCATTCTGCTCGCACCGACCACAGAACAGCAAGTGTTCGTGATGGCGCAGTATATTTCGACTACGGCCGACCCCTCAGCGCATGCTGTTATCCGCGGAAGCGTTGCCGTGGACACCATGGAAGTTGTGCGGCGCTCCTTCCTGACATTCGGCGTCACTCTGGGCACCGCATTAACTCTCGGCGAGAATGAACCTCTTGAAAAATATCTGCCAACCAGCGGCCTCACCATTGCCATCGATCTTGAGGTGCCGGACATCGAAGTCATGGCGAATCATCTGGAGAGAAACAAGGGTGCCCGCTTGGCCATGCACTTTTCGCCCTTTGCTGTGTTCTACCCACACCTTCAGCGGCACTTTGCTGGGAGGGAGATCGCGGACCGGCTGCTCATCACTACAAGTTTGCCGCATTGGGGCGACCCGCAGACGTCGTCGACGGTTGTGTCGCAGTTCCACGAGGCGTTTCCCAACAGCTCGCAGTGGGAGCCACTGACGCTGAGCAACTTCGCTGCGTCAAAGGCTGTTCAGGCTGCTGCTCAGCAGTTGGACGTGGTCAACGCCACCGCCCTCGCGGACTACTTCTACTCTAGGGTTGTTCTGACGGTGAATGACATGGTGTACGGCCCCTTCGCGGACGCCAACAGCATCACGTGCAGCGGCAGCGGAGGCTCCGACACTTCCGGATGCGCGAAGAACTACGGAGCGACGTCCATCGGTGTGTGGTCATTGAGCCGTGCGTTTAATTACTCCGTGCCGCCGCTCTCGCATGGCATCACGCCCTCTATGATATATGCTGAACCGCTCAACACTGGTCTATCGAAGGCGCAGATCTCCGGCATCATTGTGGGCTCTCTTTTCGCGCTTGTGATCGTTGTCTCCACACTCGTGGTGCTGTTCTGCTGCTGCCGCGACAGTCGTGACAACAACAACGCCCCGAAGGAGCCCACAGACCCCGTGACGCTTGTGTTCACTGACATCGAGAGCAGCACTGCGC